TTATGTAATATTTATATATAAATATATATTTATATATAAAACTGCCTCCTCATTTTAAAACACCACCGCACGCCACTGTTAACTTGGAAAGTAGCTAATTACTATAGTATAACTAAAGTTTCAAAGTAGCTTTTCCAACACTTGCATTTATCATTGTTGTTTACTCTCTGTCGGAACAGATCTACAGCCCATTTTTAGATCCGATTCCCCAGTTGAGAACCACTATGCTAAAGGATAGAGAGAAACACCTGGTTGATTGTGAAGTGTATGTTGTTTCAAGCCTTGAGATCAATTCTAAGTTCATCCAAGTAGAAATTATAATCAGGTTATCGCAGCTCATACTGTTTTCCAACTTAAATGACGAAGAACTGCCTAATAACATCATCAAATCCCACTCAACAACGCACAGCAGGAAACACAACACTCAATATTCCATCAGTTCAGTCAGAAGGGATTCTGATTGGACCAGCACTATGTGCAGAGACTATACACACAAACATACTCTAAAGATTAACAACATCCCACTGTGAGGCTTCAGTGTAAATTAACTCACTGGCTTTAGATTGAGAAGAAGTGGGACATCATGGGAATCAGCACAGTGAGATCTCTTTGTCAGCTAATTCCTCTAACCAAACACCACATTCTTCACTATCTCAGTCAAATGATCGCTGGAGCATTAAGATTAACCTTTCACCTGTTGATTTCACTCCCTGAACATCACAGGAAGTCACAATGATGATCAAAAGAAGATTTTTTCTTTTTTTGTACTTCAGCCAAGACCAAACTGCAAACTTTTGGGAGTTGAGACTGCATTTGTTTGTGGGACTGTATCCCCCGAGATGTCATTCTGTGTGTGTGGAATTAAGTAATTTCTTATTTTTATTAATCAGTGTTTTTGTCCCGTTTTTCATATCTAAACATTGTTAGAACTAGATAAATGTGCTTTAAGAGCTAAATTGTCCAAGATATCTAGACTTGTTTTCAGAGAATATATTTTGAATTAAGTTTCTTTACCCTATTGCTGTCACGGGTTGCTATTGTGAGGAGCACGGAACGAGGAAACCAGGAGACCAGGAGTACAAACCAAGGAGTTTATTTAAATCGCGGGGAATCACACATAGCACAAGGGAGTGACATTCACAATACCGGACAACACTAACTAAATGAACCTTTGGGCGGCGTTATGCAAATCTTCCCACATTGTGACGTAGGTATGTGGGGGCGTGTTAGAACGAGCTGTTTTAGGTAGGCGTGGTTAACTCTTAACTTTTATAAAGAATATCTCTTTGGATTTGAGACTTTAGTCTTTGCAACTTTACAGATCTTCTTTATGCACCAAGAGCTTGTAACACTCCAAAGAGAAAGGAAAAATTGAAATCGCATCAT